ATCGATGGGATGAATGAAACAAATTGCACCTTTACACTCTTTACAGTCAATCGAGCAGATGCACGCATCCCAATGGACGTTGGAACGAGTTTTATCGAAATAAATTACCCTTCGACTCGGAGCACGCCGCGAATATATTTCAAACCAGTAACACAAATCTATATCCTTATCTTAAATCTTTTCATAACAAGAAAACCTGACATAAAATTAATAACTTTACAAATCGAATTTTAGGGAAATAAGATAACAAAACTCCCCTGATTTCCCAAAAAATTTTCGATAAAATTATTGCCAACAAATATCAATCTGTATTATTATAGTCACAAAATTCAATCTCAAAATAATTTACTTACGATCGATGCAAAATATAATAAAATCTTCCTGATTTTGAAAGAAAAATCTTTGATGAAATTGTTTCCAATAAATACTAATACTGCTATAACAAATCCCAATTTCAAATTCTAAGCATTATGGGAAACAATTTATTTACGATTCATCTAAAATATATTAGTTAGAAAAAGTTGACTTTCTCTGTGAGTAAAAAGAGAGAAAAATGGAGTGAGTACAAACCACAAAAAATGAGAGAGAGAGAGAGAGAGAGAGAGAGAGAGAGAGAGAGAGAGAGAGAGAGAGAGAGAGAGAGAGAGAGAGAGAGAGAGAGAGAGAGAGAGAGAGAGAGAGAGAGAGAGAGAGAGAGAGAGAGAGAGAGAGAGAGAGAGAGAGAGAGAGAGAGAGAGAGAGAGAGAGAGAGAGAGAGAGAGAGAGAGAGAGAGAGAGAGAGAGAGAGAGAGAGAGAGAGAGAGAGAGAGAGAGAGAGAGAGAGAGAGAGAGAGAGAGAGAGAGAGAGAGAGAGAGAGAGAGAGAGAGAGAGAGAGAGAGAGAGAGAGAGAGAGAGAGAGAGAGAGAGAACGAGACAGATAACAAGTGCATGGTTACTGGTTACAACTTACTGTTAAAGACGAGCAGCTTCCGCGTGGAGCCAAGCCTCTTGATGGGCGACTTCACGCCGTCGATTTCTTCTTCGTCCATGTTCGTATCAACGACGCGGCGTCTCGATTTCCGTCAAAAACCCCACTCGGGGTTTTTCTCGTCCCGTGTTCACGCACGCACGATCGGATAGTTTCTATGAAGTGAGCACAAAATACTTGTCACAGTTTAAAGCATTCTCGGGCACGAGGAGGTCACCGGTTGATTGCGGTGAAACCGGTTTATCGGGCAGCGTTGATACCTTTCTATGATCTGCACTAGATGCGCTATCACCGGGTACATGTGCCAACCGTGTGCACACGGACTACTACGGTCTATTGAGCAAAAGGGCAAGAGGAGGGAAGGATGAAGAGAGGAAAAGAAAGAAAAAAAATGGCAAGCGTCAGAGAAGAAATGCCAACGTGAAAGAAGCGTGTATGAAACGAGTGAGTAGCGTTGATCGTTTATACGTCGACGGGACGAATCGCGATGCCACGGGTAAACGTATCTACAACGCGGGTTACTGTGGTAACGCCGATTGGTTTCTGACTATCCCGAGGCACACTGAAGATATTCTTGGACTACCGTATATTAATTCGAGTTTGGGGGACCGGCGTCGCTACCGCCGTCACCGTCGCCGTCGCCGTCACCGTCGTGCATTGCCACTTGGTCGCCACGCCGCGTCACTTTTGTTGCTTAGCAACTGCCTGTTCCAAGGTAACCTCATCCTGTTGCCATCTGTTGATGCCTCGGTTGAACTAAGAATTTAATTTTTTATTTCGGTAAGTGTATCGATAAATGTAATGGAAAATAGAGGAATCGATTATAAATGTTTTTATTTCTACTATGGGTAACATTACTGTCGGTTAAATAGCGATGAATTCAAATTTTTAAATTTCTTTTTAAATATTGTTTTTATGAACTTTTTAAGAGTATGAGAGTATCTATTTCGACATTGTAAATGATCGTATTTAATTAGTTTTATTTTTGTAATGTTTGATCTAGGTATATCTAAATGTATATTTAAAAGTATATTTTTTGAAAGTTTTTTTATAAAATAATTTTCTTATAGCGCTATTAAAAGTTATATATCTCTTTATACAAGGATATGGATGTTAATTAAATGTTATTATATCTAATTTCTATTCATATCAAGTGTATGGATTGATATGGATTGGTTTCTATGGCAACCAAATGTAAACCAAAAGGATCATAAAGTGCTCTAGCAAGATAATGTCAGTTATTTGTGTATCTATAAAAATTACTGTTTATTAATACATAAGATACCTGTATCCAATAAAGTGAAAAATATCTTAAATAATTCATCATAATGCAAAGACCACAGACAAGTATTCCATTGCAAAGCAAATATGATAGATTTTACAGAGGTGTAAAGAATGAATCTGGAGAGTTTTATGTCACCTCGGGTACTACTCGACCAGGCACACCTGGACAAAATGTACTGGCAAGACCACCATCATCATTGGCTTTACTTAACCATGTACCAACACCTACTTCACGGTTGAGTACAATCAGTTCAACTAGTTCCGGAGCATTTAACTCAGCATTTCCTTTGCCTGGTCAGATGAATATAAACGTTACGGAGAGGCCTATCACCCAACATGGAGTAGCAGGTCTGAGACCTGGAACAGCTAGAGGATTGTCAATGACCAGGTATAAAAATTTATTTTTCTATATTTCATATTAAATCTATACGATTAGAGTAAGATTAATTATAATATCAGTATTATTTTGATAGATGTAATGGAATTATTAAACTCACATTTCTGTTGTTTTTTAATCTACATTTTCTATTCTCAGACAAATTCAAGATAAAAGATATTACATTGGACTCATGCAACTGAAAATCAGAGAATTAAGTCAAGAAATTGCTGTTATTTTCAAAGATATTGAAGATCAAACTAAGGAAAGAGCTACTTATATACATTATGACAAAAGAGCCAAAGATTTAGCTATGGAATTAACAACTTTGCAAGGACAGCTGGCTGACTACAACATCATTGTAGATAAAATGACATCTGATGTTGGGAAAGAAATCATTGAACAAGAGACTGAAGAACTTGCCACAAAGAATGAACAAAATTTATTGAAAATCGAAGATATGTTTGAAGAAAGAAAAGAATTAGAGCAGAAGTTAACTAAAATAGAAAAACAGTTAGAGGATGAAAAGAAGAGGACTGAAAGACTTATAGAGAGCATGGATTTTAATATGAAAGAAAAATATGATGAATTATCAAAAGAAAAAGCAAAACTGCAAGAGAAAACAAATGCATTGCAACAAGAATTGGATGAATTATATAAAGAACAAGCTTATTTGGAAGAAGAAATAACATTATCTCCATTGAAACAGGAAGCAGTTAAATTACATTTGAAAATTATAGAAATGGAAGAAAAAAGGGACAAGTTGAAAGAAGAAGAGAAGCATAGAATTTCACCAGAAGAGGAAAGAGGAAAACTACTACAAAAAATTAAGCAAGACAATCTGGATATTGCAGCTGCTGAAGCTCAATTGACTGAGAAAAAGAAACAGGTACAAGAAACTGAACAAAAACTCGAGCAATTGGAAACAGACATGGAAGATACTCAAACTGAGAAGCAAGCAAAATTTAAAGAACTTCGTAAACGAGAAGAAGTTATAGAGCAATTTATGAGTTCTTTTGAGCAGAATAAAGATGATGAGACAAGAAAAATGGATAGATTAGAAAATACAATAGTAGAATATTTGGAAAATATTTCAAATATGTTAAACGTTGATATTGATTTTATAGGAAATGATGAAATAGCCATTCTGAATAATTTACCACCCTTCAATGACTATGACTACAGTAAGAGTGATCAAAGTTTTGAAAAATTAACTAAAGAAAATTTAAAATTGCAGCAAATTTATAGCGAAATGGAAATGTTGGAGCAAAAAATTCAAGCAGAATTTGTTGATCTTAATGAAAGAATGGGTAACAAAGATAATAAATCAATAACTCCAGAAGACCTAGAAAGTTTCAAAGCTAAATTGACATTGAAACAAGGGCAATTAATAGCAGAATGTGAACAATTGAAACATCAACAATTAGAATGTGAAGAAGAAATCAAAACAATTCAATTTGAGTATGATGAAATAAAGCAACGTTTAGAAAGTAATGATATATACACTCAGATTAGTGTATTAGAGAATACTATGGACAAGTTGCTGGAAGAACATAAGAAGATTCAAGATTTTATTGTCAAAGAGGAGAAACGTGGTAATTATGATCCAATAAGAAAAGACACTTTTAATTCAATAAATATTTATAATTCTATGTTGAAAGAAAATCTAAAAACTATTTATTAATTAAAATTTTTTTTAACATTTATTTTCATTTTGTGCACGATTAACCAATGTTTGTAGTATTTATTAAGTATAGTTAACCTAAATCAGATTTACCTTTCTTTCTTTCTTTTCCCGAACTCTATGTAGTTTCTCACCTTTTCCAGATTCTGCCTATCATTTCAATCCTCTATGGTTATTCCTTCTAAATATAAAAATTTTCCACATTATGCGAATAATTGTATAATTAAAGTAATATATAAATAAATAATAATAAAAGTATTATCATGAACGCCACATCATTTGTTTTATCGCAGAAATAAGGTATAGGAATATGAGTAAGGTAATAACTGAATTGTAAAATGTACTTTTTGACGATTATAATTTTATTTAAGATATTTCAATATTTCAAAGAGAAGTTCATTTTTCGTAGCAGTGTTATTTATGGCAGTTACAAACATGTGATTAGTAAAATGATTGAATACTTATAGTTGGTATGTAGAGTTATGTAAATGAAACTATGGAATACAATTTTTTGAATACTAAGAACACGCAAAGCTAGTAGCAAAAAATATATAAATCGCGATTTATATTATTATTATAAATATTCAATAAATAAATATTTGAAATAAACTCACACACAGCACACAATACAGCACACAATACAGCACACAACACAGCAATCCATAGAAAATAAATATGACGAAATAAGTAAGAATACATATATGATGATCTTATATTCTAAATCCTTACAATATAAATTTACCTTAATACATACCTATATGTTATAAACTATCTTATAAATAAATGTTTATTTTAATACTTTACTGTAAACCATACACAATATATCGTGTCCTACTATTAGGTTGATACGGAAACTATAATAAAAATTTTTCAAACTAATTATAAGTTATTTTATCTTTGAATATATTTTACATTTAGTAACTCCAATTTACTCAATCGCTTTAGCATACTGTAGACTAGATTTATTATCCATGAACTGAGATCAAATACTCTACTAAGTTCGCCAGTGAAATATAAAAAGAAATTGCACAATAAAACGTAAAATTCCAAAACATCTATTTGGTATAACTATACGATAATTGATACGATGTTTTTTACATATATAAAGCAAAAACAAATTTGTTTCTTCAGTTTTTTTTAATACCTGGACTAAACTGTTCGAGTTAGTGTCCATGGATTCATTGACTAGATACCACTCCTAATAATAATTTAATTATATATTAATTTGACTAGAATTTTTTACAAAGTGATAGTGACTATGCGTATACAATGTATAAATTAATTATTTTATCATTTCGAAATAAATAAGCTTAAAATTAAATGCGATACAGGGTGTTCCTGCACAAATTAAGAGAGTTTGATCAGAAAAAATGGAGCACTTCATATATTAACTTCAGTCGGTATGTTCGGATTAGATATTACTAAGATATAGTAATGGACATCTCTATCAATTTAAAAAGAAGTACAGATTTGTGTTAATTAATATAAAATTATTCTTAATTATTAAACACAGCCACATAATACTTTTTACTTAACAAAATACTTTTTGTACTAAATTGTTGTGCTTGTGATTAGTAATCTTCCCAGTTCAAAATTATCAAAGAATACGTATATGATAATTTAATCCTAAACGAATACATAATTAGCTGCCTTGTAAAGGACGATTTAATAAATTTAATTGTTTAAACTGTACCGACTGAGTCATAGGAATTTGGCAAAAAAATCGGAATTATATACATACGTAGGTAATATTCCTTCAGTTTTATTGACAACCGTTTACGTAATTAATTTTGAAATAAGTTTAATTTTTTTACTTTATATAACTATTGGAATTCTAATTTTTGATGAAATTATTTTTTTGCCATAAACCTATATAATAATAATATTGATGTAGATTACTGGCACATTCCCCGAAATGAATAGAATATTGACTTAGTTAATAAATTATATTATGTATACACGATCAGATAATATAGACTGCAATTTCTTAACTATTCTTTTTGTGATTCTTTTTTACGATTATAGAAAGCGAGTATGATATATTTTCATGACTTAACTTTTGTATGGCATCGTATCCACGGATATTATTTATTTGACAAATGTATGGTACGTATGTATTTAAATATGCAAAATTAATGTCACACAAGTAGAGGATATATTGAAATAAAAGTTTCAGAATTGCATTTACTTGTGGCCTGCATATCCTTTGAGGAATATGATACTTACGATACTTATGTGTTAAGTGAAAAGAACGCGATGACTAGAAAAGTATGGTTGACTAGAAACATAAAAAAGCTATACGAAAAGGTATACACACGTCTCGTTGATGCTACATGTAATTAAATTAAATACATATTTTTTGTAATTTAAGATTTCAACTTAATTTCTAGTAATTCACGAGAAAATTTCAGAAAAATTTATCTCGAGATTAAAATCCGTGGCACCAATGCGAACGACTAAAAATAATAATGACTAGACTGTATTATTTTGTGACTAGATTAGGTTTTCTAATAATTCGATTTCTTGACTAGATCGTAATTATACTTTTTTTCTTTTTTAGACTAAATTCTATATTTTGATTCTCATAGTGTATACTACATTTTTATCACTTGCTGACTAGATCGTTGTATTGTCTCTTTTTATATTAACCTCTAAATATTTTCCTTCCTTCGTGTAAGTACGATATATATGAATTAAAAAAGAAAGGAAATTTAAACTTAAAATATAAAATAATTACATTACCTTAAATTAATGACTAGCTCGGTGTTTAGAAATCTTCGAAAATTTTGTCAATTCCTTACAATAAACCTTAAAACTCTAAATTAAAATATAAGACTAGTTACATTATTGTTAATAAATGTTATACTAGTATTGTTACGTCACGTGACCCTCTATATAGATTGCAAACCATCCCTCGGCCATAAAATTAAAGATTTTGTCAAGGCCCTTAATTGCTTCAACATATCTTTCAAATCAAGACATTCCTTAGGGTTATTGTTCAAAAACCTGCTTTTCCCATATTTTACTGGTTTGAATTATGACTCTAAGAAATGTCTCGATTTGAAAGATATGTTACAGCAATTGATGGTAAAGTCAAAATCTTTAGTTTTATGACCGAGGAATGGTTTCTAGTCTATATAGAGGGTCACGCGACGTTACAAATATAAGGAAATACATTTACATCAATGCCAATAATCTTTAATCGCAGAATTGACACATTCTCAAAGTTTCGTATTATTTAATCAAATAATAAATTAGTTACCTTACCAATAAAGTGTCAAAGTCAAAAATCGCAATACGGTTGTTTTCTGTCTTCAAAACGTCTTTTTCCATAAAAGCAGTATAAGTGATGACAAGTTTTCTTCAAATGTTTTTGATCTATTGATTAATCGATATATGCTTCCTTCAGTGATAAGCTTTTTGCAAACGGTTCCTGGTCGTCGTATCTTTTGCAGTGTTTTCTTCGATCTTCGACTTTTACTTAAATAATCAAATTCAAAATTTGTTATGTAGTATTGCATGATTATTTGCTTGATATATCAATCGAGATAGGCGATCTGCAACGCCGACTACTGGCCAATTTCGAAGGAAATTCTCATCCACCGAGCATATGATTCGAGTAGTGTTGTACTTTTAACATCAGAACTCTACATCTCTCTCTTTGTACAAATTAAAAATACTTTCGTATGTACAAGTATATTTACACAAATCCTCTGTAACAGAGGGTAATCTTTGCTTTCCCTTCCCCGATTTCAACATCGTCAACGATATTCCACTTTATTTCATTGATGGTAGATGTCCTCATATAATTTCAAATCAGTAGTGAATCTGTCATTAAAAAATATATTTCTTCCATAATTTTATATAAATGAACACTTTGACCGTCTTTGAATGTATTGGTTTTCTATGTTGTACTTACAGTGTGTAGATGTCAGATTACTCTCGGACGTTTTATCGGTTCGACGAATTCCGTCTCGGTGTCACTCAAGGATCTCCGGTTTCTTCCAGTGTTTCCAGTTCAGTCTTGGTAGTTCGGTTGGTTATCAATTCGAAATTCAGCTCGACGATTGCTCTCGGTGATTTCAATTGAATGTGTCGAATCGGGAGAGGGGAAGCAGGATAGAAGATTGCAGACCCTCGGAGATTGGATCTTGGTTTTGAAGAAAAAGGTGAAGGGAAGAGAAACGAGAGGAAAGGAAAATACGAACAAAAACATACAAGAGGGGGGAAAAAGAGAAATTAAAAATAAAAGAAAATTCTCCGAGGGCCCACGCAAGCGCATAGTCACTCGCCTGCTCGCAGACTACCTCAAATTCTGTTCGTCGCGCTCCAAGATGCATATTTCCCCCACTTTTCGGCCCCGTGCCACCACCACACTCCTTTCGGAGGTGCACAAGTTGGCACGTGCCCCACTTCCACACTTCTGCTCTGTAGCATGCCGCTTTTTATTCCCCACCGCTAGCTTTCCCCTCTTTGCCGCTCCGTTTGTCACATCCTACAGAAACGGACCGTGGATTCGTTCTGTTCCGGGATTCGCACGATCTGCCCCACCACAGGGCCAATTTTAAAGATTTGCCCCCCACGCGCGCGTGCGCATGTGTCGCGCCATTAACATTACTATAGTAAAGAGAGGTAGGGGGATCCACTCTCGCAGGGCGCTACTGTGCGCATGTACGGCTTTTGTACCACGTGCAGCTTCTATATTCCATGCTTAGCGTGTGTCGCTGTATCCTACGGTCGTTTTTTCTTGTAACTGTTTGGTATGTATAATGTATAAAAGGATACAATTTTCGGTTGTTTTTACTTGATACTACTTTGAATACTTTAGATTAGCATTTTAGAAATTAGCGTTTGAATCGTTCCACTTTGAAATTTCTATGTCTAATTATATTTAATGAAATTCACTATATTGTAGGTTAGAATTATGTTATTGAAGATTGCATTATGAGAATGGTGTAAACATCTCAAACAGCAGAGTGGTAGTATATAATTCGTATAATCAGGTAGAGAATTATTCTTATCAGATATTCAAATTTTGATTTTGTTTACATTTTATACAAATATAATGTATTATTCACAGAGATGAAATAAGGCGGCATTGGCGTCACGCGTTTGAAAAATACTTATCTACTTCGTTTGTCCCAGTATTTGAGTGAGTTATTTTACTATATCAAATAATATATATATAATATGTAGATATCTTTTCATATTTTTAATAGAAGAGATTAATGTGAAATATTAATTAGTATTAGTAGAATCTCTCTAGAGATTTCAAAGTAACTTGTGAAAAGAAGATAGCCAAGGTTACGATAATCGTTATTATGCGTGTCCCTGAATAGAATAGGGGTTTAGTAATACGACAGGTCCTAAATCATGATTCGACCGTGAATACCAATGCCGTGCCCGCATTGTCAGAATGTGTTGCAGTTCAAGATTCTAGGTTGAATTAATGTATTGTCATGCTTATAATGTACAGATAACCTCATAAAAAAGAAACTCACAAACTTTCAATGGAAAAACATTTAGAGATGTAGAAATTCAAATCTAAATTTAATTAGTACCTACGTATATGTATTCAGTGTTTACTTTTTCTTTATTATATTGAAATTATTATCTTTCTTTTCGACACGAAGAAGATGAAATGTATTATTTGTAAAAATTCCAATATTTATTCGTCAGTAGCTATTTAAGTTTGAAATTAGTTAAAATTTTAACGATGATGTAAAATAAAATCATTTCCAAATACATATTGGGATAATAGCGAATGGTAACAAGCAATTTTCGTTTTCCCAGGGGGTAATGCGAGAATACTAACAGGGTGGTATCGAATCGATTAAATTACTACGAGAAATCGGCGATGATGTTCGATCGTGTATTCGGGCCATGAATTCGATTAGGCATTGCGTGGCCCACGACGCGGATAGTCTGTTTACCGTGTCGATTTAGGAACTTGATATCCTCGACGTGCAGCGTGGTAAGTCCGTAGATTCGTACGCGTATCACAGGGCAACGCGTTATAGAATTTCCTCGTTCCATATCGAATTTAGCTGTCCCTTTCAGCGCGTCATTTGTCTTGGTATGTCTATCCACGAACCCTCGTAATAACTTCAAGCTTCGTTTCACTCGAGTCGTGCAAACATTGCGATCGACTAGTAACTAGCATTGTGATACAGTTATCGAGATTACTATACACGAGTACACGTGGATGTTAGTCTTTGAAATATGTAAGATATTTATAACGAAAAGTAAACGTATCATTTAAATTAAATTAAAATAAATTATCGCAAAGGGAGCGTTGACAGTACTGGTTGGCACTGATACTTGAACACGAAGAAGACAGAAATCTTGTGTATTTTGATGTTTGTAGTAAAATAGTAAAAGCTGTGACGTTACTTCTAATAATTAAGATATATAAAAGAATGTTTCTCTAATTTATATTAGATATTATAGCTCTATCGACATTCAAATTAATATAAGTTTGGTATTCAATCGTTGTAAATTAATAATTTAAAGTAATATCTATGTTAACTCGTAGTACTACTGGCAGGATCTTTAATTTCATTCATTCTTCAATTTCCTTTGTTCCCTATCTTTTGGAGAAAAAGTATGTTCCTGACATAGCAATAGCAAAACTGACCAAGTTCAATTTCCTATAAGTGTATAAACATCCTGATCATAGTCTACTTACATCTTATTACATCAATTAATCTCTATCATCGAAAAACAGGAGTATGTTCTTTATACCTATTGAGTGTTTCATAGTCTTTGATACGCATACGTTTGTTCACGTGTATCATCGAAGGATTCCTCTCAACTGCGGTGCCTCGCATGTCCCGATGTAGCCTAATCTCGATACGAGTATCCTATACGATTTAATTAGCTAAGTATGCCCACGGCAGGGCATCGTCACACCGCATTTTACTACCCACCAGGCAATAATTCCATCCCTCTTCTTTAATTTCCTTGTCCAACGTTAAACCACGAGCAAGCACACTCGTCCCGAAAGGGTGCCAGTCGCATACGAAATCTCCAGTCACGCTAGGAAATGGAATAGACGTTATTGATGCGGCTACTTTCGATACGACCGCATCTGGACGTTTCTGCCTTTTCCTTCTTTCCTCTTTCGATTCAATAAGTAGCCAGACGTAGGTAACCTTTTACTATTAAAGTGGACGTAAGTGGACAAAGTTATTTACCTTTCCTGGATATACTGGGTGTTTCGTGTTTGGGGTATTCGAGTTTGAAAAACGCGTATACATATATAGGCTAATTACGGATGAGACTTGTTTTTTTTTTTTTTACTTCTAATGCATTAGAAAGCACTCAATTTTTGTTAACATTTTCTTCTTGGTTGTAATTATATTTAACTTCTATTTGTTTGCGAGCTATCTTTTAGGCGTCGAACTTTGCAGGATGATTTCACCCCTTCGATCAGAATTACCGCAGCTAAAAGAATACGTATCTATTATTTTCGGTTGCTTTTAAAGTCTACAAAGTTTCATGCAATGCGGACCGATCGCGTGCTTTCCTTATTGGACACATAAAAGTAAAAAATGAGCACTGCAAGTCACTCGAACATCTGTTTTCCCATCTCGTTCTCTATTCTTATGTCTCAATGGCTAAAGAACCAGCCTGCCAGCAACCACCAACCCTGCAACGGTTACTATTTTAATCGAAGTCTATAAATCTATCGTTCTTTGTGTGGGCGAGCTACCGGAAGTTAATTGCGTTCGAATTCCATAAATCGTATGGCGACCTGGACCGATAATAGTAAATGAAATTGATTCTTACGGATAGAAGATACTAACCGATCGATTCTTCCATCTAATGTTTCAATTTTCGTCCAACTGTCGTTGGACAAAATATTTTTAAATTAAAAAAAAAAATAAATTAAAGAGTAAACTTAAATTTGGAAAAATAATTGGCACAAGAAGAATTAATTCGTAGAAAGATTATTCTAATTTAAAATTAAAAGAAGAAAAAAAATTAAACGAGACCAGATATTTTATGAAATTTTCATCTAATAGATATTTATTTGAATATTATTCTTAAGTTCTTGAAACAAGGTCACTACGTTTTATTACATCGCTTAAAATGTGTAATGCAGTCTGTATCAATTTACTAGGAACATTGAACACAAATATCAGATTTAGTCATCGTCTCCAACGTATCACGTGAAATAACTGAATTAAACAATTGCCAGGAATCACGCTACTGATTTTATGATAATGCGCATGCTGTTGCTGTGATTATCAAGATTAGAGTAACTTAACAACCGAGAAATGTGATAAAACCGCAAAATTGGGACAACGATGGATAGGTTTAAAATATAATTTTGAAGAATTGGTCGAATGTAAAAATTATTATAATTTGGCAGTAAAATTAAATATGTTATAGGTATTACATGAACATTTTTTATCGTTTCGTGTCTGTTGGCCATTGCTGAAGTAATTCGACAGCAACGGGAGATTAATATTTCGTTATTGCACGCATGCTTTCAGCGGTTTTATTGCAAATCAATTGTTTACAAAATTTAAACCTAATATCACATCTCTGCTCTTGTATCCACATTTATTTATGTCTTATTGTTTATCTACAAAACAATTCCAAGTTATTCCTATCTCCAAATATGTATACTGAGAAAATACAAATTTGTAACTTTCCCATTAAACTTTATTTATTTTAAACGTACAGTATCTGTTACATCTCTACATAAACCAGAATCCATCCCTCGGTCAAGACGACCACTAGCTATGCAAATATAACAATAATCCTAAGGAACGGTCATAGAACTAAAGATTTTCACTTTATCGTCAAGCCCTTAATTATTGCAACATATCTTTCAAATCGAGACGTTTCTAAGAGTTATTGTTCAAACAGATAAAAGTTGGGAAAAGCAGGTTTTTCCCAGGTTCAACAGTCATTTCCATCTGTAAACGACTGTTGGTGGGGCGATTAACATTTTCCTCCGCGACAGCATCGTCACCGAATTTCACTGGTTTTTCATCCGTTGACCAGTCACTGTCTTAACTGATTTTCCGTTCATTGGTCAGTTTAACTTGTTACTGACAATTCGCTAAGAACTCATCTACTCGCACAACGCGTAACTACTTATATCTACAAAGTTGTTGGAATGAAGTGCATATTTTAACCTGTTAATTTAGTGTTATAATTAATTAACCGATGCTATTATCTTAATGGAAATAAGGAATCGACTGACTCGTGGCGTCGATTATCAAATCGTAACGGGAATTTACGACTCTAATATAGAAAAGTATTCAAGTATAGAATATTTGTGTAGTATAGAAAGAAAACGCTGAAGATTTTGTAAAAACGTAATTGCACTACTTTCGAAACAGTTGTGCTATGTCATACCTCACCGTGCTGTTACCAGGTTAATTTCTATGGATTCGTTAACATAGAATTTTTATGGCGATGCCAATAATATTTCCCACGAACAGGTGGTGTTCTTGGACAAAAAAAAAGCACAGACGTCCACTCGGAACCGAAGTGGCCTTTTTGTTCGATGAGTGGCCCTATCCGTATTGCGAACACTATTGTTAGCGTTGTTTCGGAACCCATGGAAATTACAAAGGTGCTTCACTACAAGTGCCGTCACCGGTGAACGTAAATTGCTACGGTCTCCGATCTAACATTATCTGTTCGTATTCCTATACCTGTGTGATTTTCGTTTTGTGATCGTGTTACGTTTTATATCTAAGTATTAGATTGTCCTTTCGTTTTATAAGCAAATAATAGATGCACAACATTTTTTGTTTTATATTATTTTACTACATATTTGTAGTAATAGAACAAAATGGATTATACATAATTCGATAAAACAATAGAAAGCAAAAATGTTATGCATCTGTTATTTCCTTATAAAACGAAAGAAACTTTTAGAACAACCTAATACCTATGTATTATAAATATTATAGGCTTATTATAGGCTGATAGGACAGTTACAGTTTCGTCATTAGATTTTATTTGTATGAGTAATATTCGTAATTTTATGAGTAAAGTTTCTGTCGATCGTAGGTAGTTGAAATATATACCTGTCGGAGATGAAAGAACACCGGAGACCTTCCCTCTGGAACCTCGGGAAAGTCCGTAAAATTGCAATTAAAGTTTACAGCTGTAATTAAACAATTTGCCGTCATTCTACCCAGTTGTACTTATTTGCGATTTGTGATAATAAACTTGGGCTCAAGACGACCGTAGCCGCGGTCAACGGGAGGGACGCGTCGTCTAACAAAGGTGTGGAGTGACAATATGACCCTCATTAAAAGAAATACCCATAGAGGTACTTGACAGTAAAACATTCCAACGGTTCCTTCGGGCAATGAATACCAGATGTTGAGGCATTTACACAGCACAAGTCCCGATAGCCTGAGGACCCGCTATAGAACCTAGGTTTTTGTTAATTAAGGTTCTTCAAACGGACAGGCAGTCTTCGTCCCAAATTGATCAATTGACAGCGACGCCAATTTCCCTTACTTTCTGAACGAGGGCTATACTCAACGAATCCGATGATGTCGTGTCCTTAGACTCACCTCATCATAGTTTTCCTCTGTGTCATCATTGGAACGAAAAGTCATTCTTTCTTGCGATCTCATCGACGAAGAGGCTAGCGCCTTACGATCTGTGAGTATTACACATTTGAGTTAGATTTTGTGAGCAAGTATATCTTGTCTGCGGACAAAATCCGCAATCACTCAATTGTCAACCCAAGATAGTATCTTTTTTCATATTTACAACGAGTTATGTGCGTTTTACAATAATTGGGACTTTATATCGTTTGCTGTTACACTGCGGATGTGTTAGAAATGTTCTGTCATAAGAATTAAAAAATTCCAAGTTTTGAGTTACGTCGAGTACCTTTTGTTTTTTCACGTTCATTTTCTCTCTTTCTGCCCCCCCCCAACCCACCCTCTTTTTTTTCTCTCTTCATTTGATCTTTTCATCTGGTTCGTCAGGTGTAGACCTGGCTTAACAGTTGCGATGCAAAGCAGATTTCCCCTCGTGGAAATTGATAGAACTCGAACTCGAACAGGGTCGCGCGTTGATCAGCGTGCTAAGCTGGTGGAGATTGTGGTGGTTGCAACAGGTGGGCCCTTTCGAACGCTCGCCAATCCCTTTCGTATCTCCTTCGCTTGTATAATGACGCGCGTCCTGTCCTGTCTCGTGTGAAAGCCGTTATTCAATTCGATGAATGCTAGACGATATAATAAACCAGAGAACGTGATACGATTCCTACTACAGTGTGCACAAACGTGCTTGCCCTATCTGTGAAAGAAACGACCACCCTTTCCCTCGATGTTTTCTATCGTACATTTCGTCTACAGCTTTCTTTCTTTATTCTTTATCGCATCTAATTTTTGCACT